GGAAGTAGAGAAACTTTGGAGAGAGACGGCTTTAGCGGCGGTGGAGGAGGCGGATTTGGTGGTGGTATCGGAGAAGAAGATGGGAATCGAGCAGCTGGCGAAGCTTGCTGGAGAGGTGCAGAGGGTCTGTGGAGTGGTTCAGGTGAGGATTAAGCATATTTTCCGCCGGGAATCTCCAAGGTTTGCAGTCTGATTCTCGATCTGTGTTTATATGATGCTTTTTCTCTTGCATTTATGTCTAGAATTCTTATTGTAAAAGCGATACCAAAGTAAATAAATTACTGATGAACGTATCTTTAGTATGATGTAAATAAATTTTAAACATTTTTTCAAACTATATAGTCTGAAAGGGCGTAAGGTTAGCCAACTGTCTGATAAATATCAAAGTACATAGGCCTTATGGCTGTGAGACGTTGCTCCTAAATTTATTGTGCATTTTTTGCATGATGTATTAGCTTAATACTGCTAAAACTCGTGGTGACTGATTAAAATATAGTATCTCAGAATGTTTGGTTAGAATAGTTCTTATTTCAACTGACCGAGGAGTCTAATGTGGAGCGACTTATTCAAATCTTATATATATATAAGGAATGGTCTGAGGCTATTAAACGAGCCCCGACTATCTCTATTTGTGTTAAATATTCGAGTACCAATTCCTACACACTGAGGGATTCGAACCCGTGACCTGGGGAGACTTACTACCTTTAAAGAGACTGCTCTACCAACAGATCACGGCTCATTGTTCAAGAACAGCTTGTTAAATAACTTGTGTTTGAATCTCTTGTTAACTAAGCAAGCTAAATACAAACGACCTTTTGTTAAATCATGCTCAACTCTTTTTAGATTGAAATAAGGTAATTATATATGTTATTTATATAATAATATATTATATATATTTATATCTAAGTTTAAATCACCACAACAATTGTGATCATATGGGTCTGCGTTTTTTGTTTCATAAGAATGGTGTTGGTTTGAATCAAATATTCTACATCTATTGTTCTAATTAATTTAAAAGAGCCAATTTCAAGCCGAAGACGACCAAGAATATGTAAATAAAGTCGGATACGAACACACCGTTTATGAGCAATTTCGATCAAGTCAAACATGAATGAAACTTGGCTCGTTTACCGCCTTAATCCAAATCGTCATCTTAGATTTAACTTAATACCTTAGCTGTGACTTTATAAATCTTCTACTTTAATTCATTTTTGTTGACCATCAAGTTACATATTTAGGCTATAAACTCTCTATATAATATCTATCCATGTTATTCTTGCATACCCGTTAGTTATTCTTGCATACCCGTTAGCCTTCATAATTTTTGTATATGTATCAATGCGCCGTAGTGACGTATAACATTTTGTTGTATATATCTCAACGATGCAACAAATGATGGCCCGTACTTGAAGAATATCTGAAGGTGCACTTTAAGAACATATGGAACCAGCCGATTCAATCATAAATCTGTCACTTGTCTGGTTCTGTTCAAATTCAAATGCATTTTCGTACAAAATTGACCATAAACAGCAATTTGATTGGGGAATTGGTTAGTTTTTCTATGAGTAATATAGTTCTAATTTTGATCATTTTTATTATTATCATTTTTTTTTATTAGTCGGATTGATAAAATCAAATAGGGGCATTTACATGCACAGCACTCAATTCCTATGAATTTACTTGTCTCATACCAAAACTTTCATTTTTTCATGCATAGCACACAATTCTATCATATCACATCAAAAATAACACTAAGTATACTTTTCAATGATCAGATTCATATTTTCATACATAGGTAGAGTATCAGAATAAATACTCCTCGCATTGTCGAAGCTTTCTTTCTTCCCTGTTTCACAGTGGAACCGCTGGCGTTGCTAGCTATAATTGTAACTGAAGGAGATTTATCACAGCAGCTTTCAGATGCCATAAGTAGGTTTGAACCCAGCCATTATAGATGAAATTAGAAAATTTTTTTTGGGGCGTTTACATAAATATCTCCCAATTCCTATGAATTTACAATCTAACACCTGCTTTATTTGTTCCATTAAAACAACTTAAATCTTTCATATCACATAATATATATATATATATATATATATATATTAAATAACTTAATTAAATATTAAAACTCACCCTTTAATCTCAATCGAAAGTCCACTTACACTTATAATACACATCTCTCGCCCCTTTCTTTATATATATATATATATATATATATATATCACAATTTTAACTTTTAATGAGTGAAATGTATCTTTTCATGCATATGTAAGGTGCAGGGGCACGACCAGGTTATGTATAGAATTTTTGCCAACCCTTAAAATTTAAGATTTCTCATTGTATGTAGTAAGTGCTAATAAGATTTTATATATAGTTTTGGCAATTAGTGTTAAATCTTCCAAACATTTTTTTTCATAAGGCATCAATTTGCCTTCATCCCTCACTTGGCGTGTCATCAATCCACAACTACTTGTCATTCATGTTGAAGTGCAAAATTTGAATGAAAGATCATAGAGAAGTCGGTCAAATTCATCTTTAATTTCGGAAACTTATAGCTCGGAAGCTAGATTGACTCGAACATAGCCAAATAAATGTCCACATTGGCTTGATCGAGGCATTGGGTCCTATTCATTGATATAACCAGTTTCCTACATGTTAGACCCCTTAAGGTATGACCTATTTGGTTTGGTTTCAATAATTAAAATCGGTCCTATCTTTCCTCAGTCTTATTACGCATTCTAAAAACCCTAATTAAAACTTATGCATCATTTTAGCTATATAGATATCCCATGCATTTTAGATTAAACAATTGTTTGATTATTTTGGTTTGAACAGATGTTTTCATAAAAAATTGACCATGGTTGATTTTTTCATAGTCTTAAAAATCATTTTGTATCGGCTCGTTTGACTGGTTCAACCATAAATCGGTCTTCAGACCCATTTTCAAAATTAATATTTCTTCAAAATTTTAGTGTAGAATTATGTTTAAACTATTTCAAATTGATTTAGAATATTTATATTGAATTAGAGAAAAAATCATTGTTGTGTCAGCATTCCATCATTTAAATTATATTATAATAATTTAATATTTATTATATTATTTTGTTCAATTAGACATAAGATCTATTTGAGACAATTGCAACTTATTAATAATCTGTTAATAAACTGTTAAAAAATAATCTATTATTCAAAAAATAGTGGTAGTTATTATTATTATTATTATTTTTTAAAACTGTCACCGTACCTAATCAAAGCGATGTGAAAATGCTAATTTCAGCTGTTTTGAAAAGCTGTCAAAATGCAGTAATTTCATATAAAATTTGATTGAGATGTGTATTTAAATAACATGACTATAATTTTTTATTACTTTTTTTTAATGCGTCATTTTTTAGTAAATTAAACCTGCCTTTTGCTGCGGCCAACTTGCATCCTACTTAAAAAATTTGATCAGGTTGACTTTTATAATCTTTAAATTTATTTCATGCTATATGTAAAGTAAAAACTTTTTGGCCCAAATTTATAATTCAAACCATGATCAGATTTTATTATAGTTCAAAAAAATCATGAAAAGACTTTCTGACTTAAATTTATTCTGGATTATTTTATAATTATCATTTAACTTATATTTAAAAAATGTATAATATTAATTTTAATTGACTTTTTATAAATTATAAAATTCACCCTTTATGTTGCTTGCAGGTTTGTTTGACAATGCACTTTTTATATTTAATTTTGTGTCATCACCATCACCATTTAACAAAAATATTACATCAGGACTCGTAACGTAGAGTTACGTTCGAAGTCCATTGATATGCGAACACGTGGCTTCAAGAAAACACGTTCATTTTTCTGTGATCTGGCCCGATAACACGGGAGAATATTTCTCCTGTATTATTCCGTGTCATTCAGGTGTTATTGTGGTGATATTGATGTGTGTTATTATAACACCGGAAATATTCCCAGAACACAATAACACATGAATACCACCACAATAACACTTAAATAATGTCAAATAACACGGAGGGAATATTCTCTTGCGCTAAAATAAATTTTTTTTTTATTTTTCTGTCAACTCAACACGGCGTTATTTTATTGGACTCCGAACGTAGCTCTACGTCAGGAGTCCTGATGTAATATTTTTCCTACCATTTACCATCTAATGCCTTAGATAATTACAAATAATAATACGTTTCAATCATTTATTATTATTACATGAATCTATAATTGTTTTTATATTTATGTAAATATGGTCTGTATTTTTGCAATTTCTGAAGATAAAATAATAATGGATATGAAGCAAGCTGTTTTGGCTGTATTAAATACATCATCATTAGTCGGGCACATGGTGATGTTAGCTGTCTCATACGTAGCAAAACTGTCACATTTTCTCAGACAAACATTAGTATTACATTTGTAATAAGGTCAAAAAAAAATAATATTGTCTTTTTCGTTTGTTTTTTTATAAATTATTTTATTATTTGTCGTATAGTAATTATTTGTCGTATGGTGTATGTCAGGTAGGTTACAAGGAGGGGGTATTAAGGGTTATATATGTGTTATTCCTCCTGTGATCTCTCTGTAATATACATGTAACTTAGAAATATATGAAAACAGAAGCGCATAACTTATTAAGTATAGGTAAATTACAGGGAGGTTTTAGGGGTATAACACGGATATAACTCCTAATACCCTCCTTGTAACATACTAGACGTACGCAAACACGTCTTACTTACGCAAATATTTCTCCTTTGATTGAGGAAATGGTGAGCAGAGCCAATATCATTCTTGTATGCTTCATTTCTCTCTATATTTTGAAGTTATTGGAGTATTATTTCGGCAAAGGTATGCATATGATTGTAGAGAAAATAGTGAATATATCATGAAATTTTTAGGGGCATTTACGTAAATACCACTTAATATTTATGCATTTACATGTCTAACACCTAAATTTTGTTTTTTTCTTACATTTATCGTATTTATCAAAATTTTCATATTAAATAAAAATTATAACTATTTTAACTTTTTAAAAATGAAATATATTTTTTCATGCATAAATAAAATATCATATATATATATATATATATATTTCGCATTATTCAATTGACTTATGTTAGCACGTTCATTGGCAGCTTAAATCATTAATATAATAAAAATGATGAAGGTTAAATCAAACTAATCAGAATTGATCTCATTTCTCCATTTGAGTTAAAAAATTAAGAGATTTTGATTATTGAATCACTGAAAAATAAGAGAGTTGCATAGTTAGAAAAAATTTTACTTTATAATTTTTCAATCAACCAAATACAATAGCTGGAATGATAATGCATTTATTTTGTTGAGCCAGATGTAGGTCAGGATCAGTGCTAACTCCTTTGGTGGTATGTTCTATCAATCATTCTGTTATTTGAGGTGAGCTGAGTCGAGTGGCGATGACGTGCCTCAGCTCCCGCCTTTCTTCTTGGTTTGTTCTCTTTAGTGAATGGAGGTCGGTTTGCTCGGTTATGGATGATGCGAGGGAGTTGTATTTGTCTAACGATGTGTGATAGGTTAT